TGAATATTGTTTGATCTTACTAAACAAGAAAACTCTCCCTCTCTCTTGGCCCTTCGCCACCCAATATCTCATGGCCGTGCGAGGCTCAGAGTGCGGAGGTAGAGATAAATAAACAGAATCCAAACTAAAGTGAATGTTCTGCAACTGACGGAATCTCTTTTATGCCCAATTGTCTTCACAAGTGGAAAACACTCTGGGTATCTAGAGGATGCACTGGACGAGATCCTGGAAATATTCTTCAAAGGTCTCTCTTGGCACTCGCCCAACAGTCGTAAAATTCAAAAGGTAAATATCACACAATCCCATGAGAACTGCTGATGGTGAATTGTGTTAATTTCCATCGGGAGGGCCTCTTCTTCAGCAAAACGGCCAGCGCGAGAGCACACATGTGATGGTGTTCTTCATGTGACAGTAATTGCAAGAAAATTAAATAGACAAACACCAGCATAAACAACTCACTGATGCATATTTCATCTTCTTCCCTTGACAATCTTAAACACCAAACACCGCACCGTGTGTTTATGGATGGCTAAACACCAAATAAAAGTACGGAAAATTGTCCATGAATTGCATTAGCATTTCAGATGGCATCTCGAGTGGGATGTCTTTCACACTTTTGCGCCGATGATGGCTCGGCATGCAGAATGAAGGCACTTTAGAGGTGAATTTGAAAAGGGAACAGAAAAAAAGCTGACTCGCCAGATTCTCTCTCGCAGAATAATATTGTCAAAATCGAGCAACATGAAGATGCGATGATGTTACCTTGTACCTACAAAATAAGTCAATTGCTATCCGAGTGCAAATCAGCAACATTTCACGATCTCTTCTCCGCGCAAGATACGCCATACAATGTTATTATGCCTCGAGACGACACTGCATCCAATTGGGTCTTCTCCTCCTTTGTCCCACAGAACTGCTGAGTGTACAGCTTCTCAATCAATAAACAGTCGCATTTGCTGTTGCCAAGATAGTGTCAAGTGAGATGAGCGGAGAAATTAAATGTTTAGAGATCACACTCATCACTCTTGCCTTGGATATTCGATGCCATTTCCGATACGGCAATTGCTGTGTGCGGCAAAAACATTCGCCAGAAGTGCAAAGTCATATTTTTCTAATTACATCAAGGGTGGGCGCGTTTTCGAAGAAACAAGATAGCTGAGCTTGTGTGTGACCCTCTGTCATAATCATTTGAGTCGAATTTGCCATTTCGTCGCCTAATTCTTCTCTCTGGTTTCAGCACTACGATGTTTCTTGATGCCCCCATCAGCCAAGCGTGAGAATATCAAACAAAAAGCCAGTCACTCAGCACGCAATGTGCCAGACAAAGAGAATTGACCATTAAGGTAAACAACCCCTGAGATCTTTTCCACCCTCTGTCGGCACCTTGCTGGGATTTCTCAGCCATGTGCGCCCACCATTCTTATCTACCAGCACCAGAGACACTCTCACGTGCCCGCATGAATATTTTAAGTGCGAGGGTGGGAATTTTGAGTGATTTGACCTCATATTTGCCCATCTTCTCCATTTAACACAAACCATACTCTCCATGCACGAATTTGCCACTTAATTTCTCGTCTATTCGACCCACTTCTGCACCCTCTCGCCTCCCAGCATCTCGACGACACTCACGTCAGCGGCGGTGTTGTCTTTCACATTGGAATCACCCTCCTCGACACATGATGTAATTAAACATTCAATGATTAATGTTGTTAATTGAATATCATCCCTCATGCTGGAGACAGCATGAATATATTCAGGAGCGACCAAATTTCACCAACTATTTCTCCCCCATGAAAGCACGCATCCGCACTTTATGGCCTTGTGATTAGGTTGTTGCCAAGATGATTCAATTATACAATGTTATTGCGGTGCAATTCGCCTGAGAAAATGTTCACTCAGGGAATGTGTGCTCCTAAAATCGATCTCGTCCGTGTTATTTTGACTTTTCTGGAGCACTTCGTTCTCCTTTCAAGACACAAAGAATTCATTTATCAATTCAAGTTTCCAAATTAGGATCTGCTTGCCAGAGAAACTCTGATAAAACGTGCTCAATCAGCGAGATTCCTTATCATTCTCCCACCCCAAATAGGTAGTCATCAGACGTTAATTCGTTGCGACAGACTTTAAGAAAAACACAGTACAACATCAAAAGGAGACAAATAAATGATGGAAATTGTATTGAATTGTAAAATAATTGCGTCTCTGCCGTGCGTATTTTGGGCTGAGGCAATTTTTCCAATCAAAAGCACTCGCGATGGCATTTAATTTGCTATTCCGCTCACGTCTGGGACATTATTTAATGCAGTACCTCCATCATCCTTCACAAACGTCTCTGTTCTATATATCTCACGGCTGCAGAATTGCAGGTGGAGGGAAAAAATGCGGCAGGTATTTTGTCTCCTTTGGCTCAGGAGAAGATTGCGCGTTAAATTTCATCCATTGCGCGCACTCATCCTAATGAGAGAACTTTCCGTTTGTGACTTCATAAATATTTCAACAGGAATCATCAAGACCAAATGAGCCGGCCAGAAAGGAGAGACGAGATGATGAGTGTGTGCGATAAGAATGGCTCTGGAGAATCCAATTGAGCAGATATTTCGGATGAAATCTCGGCGTGTCTCTTCACTTTTAGTGAATTTGTTGCGATCAAACTCTGATTTCCACTCTTGTTCTTCCCATCCGCACAAATCACGTCCCGCGATTGCCATTATTATTATTGCGCGGCCCTTTCGCCGGATGACCCATAACGTTGCTGCACAGCGCGCACTTGGCAGTAGGATCGCGAAGCTGCAGCTTTCGTGTTTGTTATCAATCATCCAAGAAATTGATATGGTAGATCGTATTAATTACACTACAAACTCTTCCACCATTCCTCCGCATCTCTTCACTTCATCTTCTGCATCTTCCCAGCCTCCGCTGTTGCTTCCATGTGACGCTGTGGTAGCAAATTGTTCACGTTCGCGCGGTTTTTCAAGCACAGTCTCTCGCTCTCGCGCTGCGCTTCTCTCCTTCGCACCGCGGCTATTCATTTCATTTCATTATTTTTTGATAAATAACGAGAATGATGCGATGAGACCACAAACACCGTATGAAATTGCACATGGAAAGCATCCTCCAGTTGCTGACCGCAAAAAAGCACACAGGTGAGGCTATTGATCAGATTGGAAATTGCCCTTTCGCCACATGCGGGCGTGCTTATGAGGGACGAACAATTCACAACCCTAGAAAAGATGAACTGATCCAAAATAAGAAAAGCAAATGCAGGACAATTTAATGCGACTTGTCGAGCCACAAACAAGCGAAAACGTCTTTCTCTTCAGTCGATAATATGAAAAGTGCACAAATTCGTGTGATGAAAGACCCCTGGAAATAAGTGAAAGAAGTGTGTGGTGGAAAAAAGGGGTCAAAACTCTACAGATAGTAATTATTTTGCATCTTCTGTGCGGCTTGAAAATATCCTCCACCTTCTCGCAAACCACAAATATTCTTTTTTCCCTCTGTGGAAAAGAAAGATACGAAATGCGAGAGAGAGACTGGAAAAAAGTCAATCGCGAGAGCTTATATCTTCACTATTTAGCATATTATTAGCATTAAATACCTTTTCATTCTTGTACGAAAGGCACGAGGGAGCCAAGATTGGATCTGAGAGTCTATTTCGATATTTCAACTTTGTACCGGAATCTGATTGAATTTTAACTCCATTCCTGAGCATGACACGAATGTATTTATTGTGACGAGTTGGCTTCTGCTTCTGGATCGATCGGGTCTTTTCAATTTTCTCCAAATATGCACAATCTTGTTGGAATGACAAATATTCATTAGGCGTTCTTCAGGAGTTTCAAAGAAGGCATGAGAGATAGTATTACGTAAAAGCATCTCAGGAAGTGAATGTCTTGTTTGTGACACTTTTTGCCCCTCATTTTGCTGTGAAAGTGGAAAATTGCAACAATTTCAACATGATATTCTTTAATTTAACACTTGGCAGATGACTTCTCAGCCAAGTCTTGAGCCATTTTGCAAGAACACATCCTGGAAGATGATAGAAAGAGTGAGAAAAGCGCACAATGAGAATTGAACCACCTGCATGAATAAAACATTGTGCTTCGCCATAGCGCATTGTATGCAAAATTCCACAAGAAAAAAGCATATCAAATATAATACAGAGACGGAATTGCTACAAAGGCAAGAGAAGAGATTTTTTTCCACCCATTTATGTACAATATTCATCTATTTTATAAAATGTACATAGACGAGAGAGAGAAAAAAGATCACCTTCTTGCCCTCTCGACTCCTTTCATCGTGCTCTTCTAACTTTAATATCTCTCTTTCATGAAAATAGTACACTCCAGCTGCCCATTTCTTGTACTCACACCACCAACACAATGAGATTGAGGAGAGCGCGAAGAGTGACTTTTTAATTCATAATTTATGTTAACAATAGAGGCGAATTTTTAACACAATAATATTTTCTGTGTCTTCCGTTTTGTCTCTCTTGTCTTCTCTGTCCTCCTTCCTTTTTCAACTTTCCTCCGCACATCGCATTTGATGCTACACACAATGTTATGCCTCGTTGAGCAGAAAGCCATCACGAGGAAGATTCTTTTCTCGTGTTATATGCTCATTCTTTTCCCTTGTTTCGCCCAGGAGGAAGTCAAAACAAATATCCTACTAGAATGGGAAGTATTTCGCAAATTTCACATTTTACGCCTCGACAAGATGAAACACCCGAGGAATTTCCCAATTTTCCCTTCTCACAAATGTGAATGTGTCAAAGCAAAGTGTTATTTGCACTTCACTCTATGCAAAATCTAATGATATTTATCAAGTCCTGAAATTCTCCTAAAATCAGTTGCAAAGTGTTAAAATAATCCTCACTCTTTGACTCCTTGCAGTTCAGTTCGCGAGAGCGAGAAGAGACACGAAAGGGGACACCATAATTGATGGGTTGTGACAGTGTCTTTAGCGCGTTGTACAATCAAAAGGGCGGACAGTGGACATACCTGATATTTGGCCAGCTGAAACCACGTCTTGATAATGAGGGCCAGTCGAGTGTCGTGATTCCCCTTTGTCGTCTTCACACTTATGAAGATGTCGTCCAGCTCCGTTGTGGGTGGCTTCGGAGTGCCCGTCACGGTGCCCTGACCCATCTCCAGATAGCTGCCCTGGGTCATCTTCGTGGTGTACAAACTCTTCTCCTCAGCTGGCAGGCTGGAGACATTTTGCGACGCCTGAGCAGCAACATTGACCAGCGGAGGATTCTGTGGAAAGAGATTACAAGCTAGACTTTAGCCTTTGTCATCGTCTCTCCAAATATTTGTTCTCCTTCTCATTCTCTGTGTGTCTTGTCTAGGGATGGATTTTAGAGTTTCTACGGAAAAGTTTGCACAGCCAAGAGGAATATGATTCATCTTCACAATTTTCACAGCAGGTGCATTCACTGTGTCACGACTTTTACGTGAAATTTCCACTTTTTGCATGACGAAACTGAAGAGATATCATATTTCCGGTGAAAACCAATTGATAGGGAAATATTGAGCTAATATTTGACAGACCCACTTTATGCAAATTCTCATAAATGTCTCTTCCCCACCCCAAACCGATAAGATAACACTCAGTCTTTGCGCCCAGAAAGAGACACAATTCTGCTGGTCATACAATTTCTCAGAAGTCCGCAGCTCAAATGAAATTGAACTGGAATCGAGAACTCGTGCATGGCGTCATAAATTGCACATTTATATTGTTATTTCTTTCGTCTGTGCACTTTTTTGCTGTCTCCAGAATCAGCAGAAATGCGAAAGAGTGCCAAGTGTGTAGGTGGTTTTGTGGGCTGCAGCGCAAGCATCCAACGGCATTAAGAAGTTCTGCACTCCTCTCTGTTCTGTTTTCATGTCATTTTTTACACCACTTTATGCCCTCTTCATCAATAATGGGTCTCTCTTTGGCTGTGCGCGGTGATATCACCGTGACAAAACATCCAAAGGCACAGCCATTGGCTTTGTCCACTCTGCAAGAGTCCGCTGAGGAGATCGCGTTGTAAATTCCCCAGGAGGAAACTTAATATAAGTGCCTGGAAGAGGTCCTCATGGGGTAAATTGTATGGCAAGAGGGCAATTAAAATCATTTACAAGCCGATATTTTAGGGTGAAAATTGCAAATGGAATCAATACACAGCGCTAATTTAACACAACATTGAAAGTATGATTATTGTTGGACATTAAATTATAATATCCTGCGTATAAGCGGATAATCGCAGCAATTTGCCATTTGATGAAATGATAATGTTTTATCCACAAAAAAACACCTCAAATTTGTTGTTCAATCTCTGCATGCGAGCACTCGAGCAACAAGTACTTTAAATCATGACACATTTTCAAATGCAAAATAACAGTTATTTTTACATCCCTCATTTGACTAATATTGATGTCCGATCGAGAGTATCTTTGGCTTTTGTGTCCAATGATAAATTGCCTCTCCCGAAAGAATATCCAAAATGAATCTCTTCACATGGCACTTAATTCCGTGTTTCTTTTATTGATTGATTTCATTGTGGTGTTTAAAATTTAATGTTTGATGCAATAAAAATGTGATTCCGATAGTAAAAGGCAATGGAATCACAGCAGTTGGTCGCACATAACATTTGTCAATTAAAATTTTAGTGCTGGGCCCATAAAACAATAATTTGATTTTATAGTTTCTCTCTTTTTTCGAATACTCCGCAATCGCGATATCACAAAAGCCTTTCTTCCTCTACTATAGTCTAATATGTCCAATCGAACAGGCCAGGAAAAAAAGCAGTCGATGGAATGCCTTTTCATGGCTTCAACCCAAAATCGCAGCCAATTCAATTACACTTTAACAATCCACCTTTGATGAGTCTTTTATCTCAACCTTTTGTCCGCGCCTGATTCAATTAACAGAAGAATCCACGATATTTTCATTGATTTATTTCACATGAAGTCCATGGGAGACCTTTTCACGCGACGACACATATTCGATGGCGCAAAATAAAAGACACCCAAGCGCCAACAATTCACAAAACCACACTTTGGACCCAGTCTTGAAACAATTCCCATAAATAAGAGGCGCACAGCAGTTGGCCTCCCCTCGGCGTGGGGCGGCCGCAAAAAACGGCGGTAGCACCTCTGCGGAATTTCGCGGGCACATCTGTAGACTGTCGTCCGTCCATGCATCCTGCCTCTGACGACGATGGCGGAGATAAAGCTGCATGTGACGAATTGATAGTGGAAGAGGTCACAACTCAATTAGGCCGCCTCGCACTCTTTCGGATGTTGCTAATCAACTTGTTGTACAGACCCGAAAGGAGGAAAAATCTCACCACATCTTCCCAATTTAGTCATGTGGCGAGAATTGGAGTTCACCACCCTCTTCAATTGCTTTTTAAATCACGCCTCAGAGTTGATCGAGTGCACGAGCCATAGATTTTAGAGAATGAAAGGAAGAGAGAGGAAGCGAACTTGTCTTTTTTCTCTTTAATTGTTTTGCTCAAATTCACCTTCTCAAAGCCTGAGCTTCAGATATAATGGTGAAAACACAGCATTTGTAATTTGTAATTTGTCCACAATCATCTCTTTCTTCCCCTCGCGTTTCGTGTATTTTCCTTCCTACTCGCACAGTGGCTGTCTCGACATGTCAGAGTCGGACGCTGACAGAGTAGGAAAGAAAATACACGAAACGCGAGGGGAAGAAAGAGATGATCGCGGACAAATTACAAATTACAAATGCTGTGTTTTCACCATAAGCAATTACCACTCCCAGTGTCATTCATTTTTTTTACCCACAATACATTTAATGAGATCTAGATAGTAAATTCCATCTCAGAAGGAGCACAAAGCATTAAAATATTGATAGTATCGCAGTTATTAATCCATCACGAGGTCAAAAATTGATTTTTCCTGTACGCAATGCGAGTTTTTTGCCCTCAGGCGATCGAGAGTGTGATCTGCTATCTTGAAAAATGACTCCCCATCGCAGCTCTGACAGTGTCACATGAAAGTAGGGTTCGGTACATGTAAAATAGCAGCAATTTATAGACCTCAATGGCTGAGGCGAAAGCTTATGATTGTGAGGGAGCGCAGAGGATGAATTGTTTTGGGCGGAAACAAACAATAAAGTGGTCACCAAGATTGGCTTAAATGGCATCAAGAGGGACTCCGCAGTGGCGATGGCGAATATCAACAATAACAGCAACATTTCCCAAGTGTGCCAGCGAAGAAAGAACTTGAGTACACAATTAAATTATTGCTTTTCCAGCGGCCCCAAAACAATAGAATTAGACCAATTCACCAGTCTCTCATTGTCTCAGCGAGAAGCCCATCATCTCAGCGGTGATTTGTGTTGTCATTTAGAGACCTTCTTCGACGGATCCGACGGGCGTGTGGGCTCGGGTCCTTCGAGTGGGGCGCCGTAAATCAAAAATTGCCACGCTGAGACGGCGAGAGCCTATGTTTATATTAATTCTAGAGGGGGATTTTGGGGCTTCGTCGCGTTGGAGGATTGTGGGCAAGACGGATAATGAAGCACTAATTGTGTGTATTCATAGTGACCCAGAATGTTGCCAACACTCCCAGAAATATTCCGAGAATATTCTTTTGTGCGCCTTGCGTGAATTTTGCAATTTAGATTTTCTCAAGAGAACCCCAAACACGTAACGGCGCAACATGGGCCCCAAAAAGTAAATTGAGGCATATAATCTGAGGGCAACAGAGGCCAATGTGGAAAAAAAGGTAGAGAGAACACATGCAAGAGGACGACACATTTATGCAAATAAAACTCGTTTAAAGGCTAGAGGCGAAACTTTCATGTTAACCAGCATCTCTCGCCCTCCCTCGGCCGCACTCTGCTGGTCACTTTAGGGGGTGGTGAGGAGGAGAAATGAACTCGCTTGCCAGAGCAGATGATGTACAATTTCAGGTGCAATGGGTGCAATCCTCAAACTGCGGCAGAACAGCGCGAAGAGGGCAAAGAAACCAACTGTTGCACCTGCTAAACGTGCACCGTCACATGATAATCACGGGAAATCTCCTCCGGGATTGCACTCTTATCGATTTTCGCGACCATGGGAACTGCGAAGCCACTCATCATTAATGCCTCACCTCATATTCACTGACACCGGCGACACTCTGGTACAGGACAAGTGTCATGTAGACAATGGCGATCACAATAGTCATGGCTTGAAGTATTCTCTTATATCTCTGCGGAATGGGTAGATTTATGGTCATTTTCCACAATGAACACGCCACACCATTCATAACAGGCACACGAGTTTCACTGTGCAGTTTTCTCTTGTGCACATTTTTCTTGCACTTTCGCACTACATATAATCCTTATGCTCCAAATCACCGTTCAACCCCGTGTCCGTCTATCAAAGTCCGTCAAATTGCTCAGAATCTACACTCGACCACTATTATTCATGCAATCCAACGATAGCGAGATTTCAATTCCGACTCGCAAGTGGAGAAAACCCGTCCTAGCGCATTCACGTTGGGATCGAAACTGAAATTGAGCGATTGCAGAGCAGCCCAAGAGACTCGAGGAGTTGCTGGTGGTGCCGCCAGATCGCCTGGTTGTCGGCGTTGATCGTGCCATGCTTGGGTGTGCGCACAAGAGCGTGCTTGGTTGTGTGACCTCAAGCTCGAGACTCAAAACACACCGTGCTCTCGTACGTTTACTCATGGTAAACACAATACACACTAAAATACACCAAGAGATCGCGAGGCGAGTCCGGAGATCTCGCAAGATCAATCCTTTGCACTGATTCCGATTATGTATTTTGTAGAAATGCGGAAAATACCTTAAGCCACGCCCTCTCGAATGCCACGCCCACTAATGGGATATTTATTAATGTTTACCTCAATTGGCTTCGCTCAAATCTATAGTATTCTTGCAAGAAGTGAAGCTGAGACATATTTCCCAACTTCAAATCCACAATCAAGTGCACAACCATTCGCCACAAGCGCGCGAGATTGACGAGAAGAAAAATAACACTACAGTTACATCCAAGAACTTTTAATCTAAACGATGACTGCAAGTGGGCAAATGCACGATGGAGAAAAAGTGTATTAGCTCGCGAGTGGCGGAATGAGATGGTGAAAAGACTCTCTCTGTCGCACAATCTCTCTCTCTCTCACTGTGCAATTGAGAGGCTCAATCTGGAGTAGAGAATGGCCAAGAGAAGAATAAAGTATTGAAATTGGAGGTGGTACTATCGGAGCAATCTCTCAGCAACACTCCGAGGCGATCACCTTATTTAGAGCATTAGATGGCACAGGGTGGCAATTTCGCGCGCCAAAAGAAATCCCATTTGCCACTTTTTGCTCATGGGGAGAAAAAGTGAAAGATGATGGCAAAAACGAGGAGCATTAAGTAACTTTCAACACTTCAATTACAATCGTCTGCTCAGCTCGTACAAGTGCTTGTAAAAACCATTCACCTGATTCTTTTTTCTGCACAAAAACCCCTGTGAGTATTATTGCCGTAGACGTTGAAGAGCGATTGCACTCTCGCTGACGTACCCTGTGAAACTATTCACATTCTCTCTAATTCTTTCATACCCCGAAGCGAGGGTTGAGCCGCCTGCGAGACACACGTCTCGAGTTCCTTTTAATCTATTGCTAGGCTTCCAGTGAATGTGAAATATTCAAATCACTTGCGAAAGATATGAAAAGTGCTTAATGTGGATGAGAAGAATTTTTGCGAAATTTTCCAACCACCTAAAACCCTCAATAGCGCGAGATCCCAGAAGGGATTTTCATTTTCAGAGCAACAAGAGCAGAGAATAGAGACTGCGAAGAGGTTGAATTACCAGAAGATAAATTAAATGATCGATCGCGAAGGATGTTGAGTTAAGCAGCCCATTGGATGCACGTGGATGTCATGTTGGCGAACAAGTTGGCAAAGATGTGGGTGTTCAACAGGGCAGATGGTGGAACAATTGCACTATTTCCTCTTCTGTGCAATGACACGAATGCTCTCAGTGGTTCACGAGTGGATTCTTTTATGGCTGCGGCTCCATAAAATCTTGACGTAGGGATAAATTAATTATTGTAGGACTGCAGCAATCTGTTGCTTGCATTACATTCGATACGCTCTCCTTCTATCGCCATCCAGAAGAGGTATAAAAATCGCCTAAGCTCGAGGGCAATAAATGGAGAACTTGCCCTACCTCGGCGTGCACACTTCGTACGCCTCGCACACCCTTTTTCGAGATTAGTCGCTGAAGGAGCATTGAAGAGAAAATGTGTGCGCGCGATTCAATCGTCGCTTCCATCACCCAATTTCGAATACATTTTGTGCACTTAGTAAAGTTGGCCATTGACAAAAGCTTAACTTCAGAGTAGAAATTCTTTAAATATTTTACAAATTCGCAAGTTCTTTGTCGACATGAGGGAAAAAGAATTAGATCCATTGTATTTCAAATAATTGCATTTTAGCAGAGGAAATGAGATTACGATATTGACTGATGAAAGTGGCAATATAGGTAACATTGGGTGGTGAGCCGCCCAGAGGCACTTTTCATAACTTTTTTCTCCACCATCATTCGCCATGGCTCTCTTTATCTCCATTATTTGCCACGATTTGTTCTATCACTCGAGGGGAGCATCCAGCGAGCCCATAAAATGTGAATCACAAAGAAATGACTGCAAGATCACTGATCGTGCAGAAAAAAAAGACAATCAAGGTGGAAGAAAACCCTCTGCTCTGCATCTCCTTAGCCGATATCAAGCCACACAGCTTCCTTTTGGCCCTTTTTGCCTTCGCTGCCCCGGTATTTTAATCAATTCATCCCGTGTGCGTCCCAAATGGATTCATGTCCTTCAGTTACTGAATTAATTTCAGCCCTACTCGACCGCAAAATCATCAATTTTCAGCTCTCGGACGCTTAGAATCGCTTTGCCAGCCGGGAGCTGAAGACACATGTATTCTGTCTACAGCACGAAGACATGGCGAGAATATGCGGAGAAACAGTGGAGATTACAATATTTAGTTGAGAGTCACTTTTAATCTTAATTGCATATCATTTTTCCCCTTCGTCATTTGCATTTGCACCTCCAGAGATTCTCTTAAGCGATGCGTCTACATGATCAAGTATGCACTCATTCGGATGATTTGCTAATTTGCACGACATCATGTGTGTTTGAATTTAGACGATAATTTGATGAAAACATCTTATGCACTATCTGCATTTGATTATACTCCACAAAGCCACTTCACGTTAACCTCAACAAAGCGAAACTTGCACAATTCTTCATCTGTTTGTGAACGTGGTAATTTTCCTGCGCATTTCCCGCTGAAAGTACACAAAAGCTCCCACTCAGGAGAGCTTTACTTCGTCTTCCAGTGACTTAATGAGGTTTTTCTCCTGCACATCATCATAAATGTACATGAGATATTAAATTAATTTGTATTTTAAAGACTGACAGGAAATTTAGCTCATCATTCATTCATTTACTGGGCAAAATTTCGGATATTATATCATAAATCGCCGAGGGTTGTGAGAATATGCGGAGGCGCGCAATTGGAGGCTTTTTAAAGAATGTAGGCGTGATTCATGAACCATAATTTCTCATGTTTAGCGTAGGTGGAAAAGTCAAAGGGTAATTAAATACATCAGACATCTTTAAAACACTGCCTGATGTCCTCGCATCCCTATGAAATGATTCTCAGAAACTCCAAAGATCTCTTCATGCACGTAATTTAATAAAGTGACAAGAAAAGTTTCCTTTCAATTGGAAATACACTTCTATTTACTGTTCACTTGAGTCCTTCCGCCTCTGATTAATCCCCCTGAAAAGCTAGTTTGGAAAGGAATGTTTGAAATGTGTGCTTGTTTGTCACCCAAAGCGAACATAGTCAAATACAATGCTCAACTCTGTGGCATTAATTAGTTGATAAAGTTTGCCACTCTCGGGCTGAAGTGGATTTTTCGCATGTTACATGAAATAATTTTGCGTGGGATTAAACCCAATAAATGAGAAATTCCTCCCAACATTTGCGATGGCTTTTAAATTGGGTGGAACTCCAGCATGTTAAAGTTGGCATGAAGGATATTATCCAATTTATTCCATGTCGCAATGTTTGTGGTATTTTTGTCAAAAGCAAGGCAAGAAGAATGAGATGGATTAGTGGCGGGAAGAAAATGAAAGAGAGGAGAAATTTACAACCTGCTCATCTATCAGAAGACACAGTATTTGTTTCATAAACTCCCTGGGATTATGCCTTATGGCTCTCCAGGGGAGGAATAGCCTCTGGGATATTCCCGGAGAATAGTAAGTGCTTGAGAGGATTTAGGGAAAATCAGGAGAAAACAACCACAAAGAATGGACGCACAGTTAATAGTCTTCTCTTTCGACACGCTAATTGAGCTTGAAATTTAATTGCAGAATAACTTGGTAGTCAAAAAAATTAATTAAAATTTCCAGGATTGAGTTTTATTCATTATCGTCTTATCATTGTGAAGTCCTGTTGTACAACTTTCTGTGATTTCTCTTTCCCATTCAGTTCTGCCATGGAAATTGGATCCCTTGAATTGAAAACGACCAAGAGGGAGAGAGAGAGTGAATTGAGAATGCGGTCTGTGGTGTGAATGAACTGGAGTGGAATTTATTCTCAAATATTAAATTGAACATCCACAAACTTTATCACAATCCCACACTTTTGGCATTCAAGAGCGAGAAGGGGCGACGAGAACTCTCAATGCGAAAGTCCTGGCCTGACAATCCATAGGCAAACCCTCAAATACATATTGTTCTACACTATAAAGTGGCAACAAAAGAAAATTTTCACTCCAACATATAATAATATTATTGTAAATGACAAAACGATGTACTTTCCATTCATTTAAATCAATATAGACTTATCAATTCACACCAATGCTTCCCCAAAATAGTCAAATTCACATGAAAATTATTTTTGCGATAATTTGTCGTACGCCAGATGAATGCAAAAGTTGTCGAAGTGGAAATTTTTCCCAAAACTAATTTGAATTATATAAATTTTCACCATCCTCCGTAAGCTGCATTATCACTATTTTATGTCCACATTTATAGACAGACTCCATATCAAAAATAAACCGTTTCCATATGATAATTTCCCTTGGCTGCCATCCAACTTCAATTTTTCGGTACCAACGGGAAATTTACAGGATTGTTGTGCAGACTTTCCCCTCGACAAAACAGTGATTTGTATTATGTGTACAGTTAGTGAAACTTCCACTCTCAGCCGTATAAGAAGCTCACACTAGATGCTGGCAAAAGGGAAAATGGGACAGCAACAAAGTTTAAAAGTTGTGAAAATGAAAATATTTTGCGAGAAAAAGAGTAAATCATTCATCATCCGGAACATTTCTATAATAAAAACTCCTTGAGACAAGTAACGCCCCTAAAGTTTTGTCAGACTGTCACAACTTTCAGTCCAACTCTTTCTATTCGCAGGGCGGATGTCTTCTGGCCCACCGTCGCTGCACTTGTTCCCATCGAGGCAGAACAGCACCTCTTCTCCTTGTCCTTCCCACCATCCGCCACTCTCATCTTTTTCTCACCCGAGCAGCCGAGACGAGGCACTAAAAAGTCAAGACAAATCCCAGTGAAAGGATATAGAATACATATTTTGGGATATTCTCAAATTGCCCAAATCCTCCCGAGAGAATGTCCTCGAGAATGAAGATAAATGTAAGGGAATTCATTGTGGTGTAATAACAGTGAATTGTCAAATTCAACACTCGTTGACAATTCAGATTTTACGACATAACGATCTTGATATTTGAGACAGAAATCCAAGAAGAAATGTGAAGACTTTGTAATTTTTGATACAGTTCAAACTCGAACTTTTACAACTCCTCTCAACTATTTCACCCCACATTCTTATGAGATAGTCTGAGTTTTCGCCACTCTTTCACCGCTCACAGAAATATCCGACTAAAATCAATGTTTTCGACACAACACAGGAGGAATTTCAACGGCAACCAAAATGAGAATCTTTCAAAATATCCTTTACACTCATCTTCAGCCATTGAAAGTTCCCTAGATTTCTGGTGAGACCGTAGCAAAAACTTTGCCTCATGCTTCACTGCCAGGAAGCTCTTTGGCGAAATTGTGCTGAAATTGTATCTTTCACGGAGCGTATTTGAAATATTTACTGGAAGAGCAAGTTGAAAACTTCCTAAATCAGCGCTTTCAAGGCAACCCATGGAGTGAGCGATCATGAGAAACTTTTTAGCACTCAGTGAGAGTACACATAAAAAGAGTGTTTGTGCATCTGCAATTATTGTTGTGCCACTTTTTCCGTGGGGTTTGGGTGAAGGATTGCTTTAACCAACACCACTGCAAATCGATTCATAGAAACGAAACGCATGCGTCTTACCTTCAGACGATAGTCCTTTTAGCCATTACTTCTAACTCGAAGCATTCTCGCACACGAAAGTGGATAAAAAAGGGCTCCTATTACAGCTCGCCAGACAATTGAGATGTGTTGATCCGTCTTCGTGAGCACTGGCAAAAATAACCACAAGAGTGATGCTTGTTAGTTTGCTGAGACATGGCAAATTTTGCTAAGAGATGTTCCAGGCGGGACAAAAAAAAGCCAGAATGAACTTCACACAAGTGCATGTGGAAAATTTATGAACTCAACATCTCTTTTCCTTGGCGGAAAAGCGCACGTCATTTATTACGTCATGTGTGCAGAAGAACTTTCCGTCTGCACTCCAGAAATCCCCAGAATCTATTAGGGTGGATTTTTAGTATGGGTGAAATTAGTTGATAGGAAAATGAATATTTTAGGCACGTTGACGGCCTGAGATGTAATGCCGTTCGGGATTCATGGACGTGCTGCACACCAGAAAAAAAATCCCGCCTCCCACCGGAGTTGTTGCGAAAAACAGGGGGGAATGCGAATGAAGGGAAGATAAATCGCAGCATCGTGATATCGTTTAACATTCGACAGCTTTGCGCTTCTCGCTCAGGCTCTCGGAAAAAAAACCGCCTCCAACCCTAAAATCGTGAAAATCCCACTCAATCGCTTTCCACACATTCTGAGAAAGCGTGGGTGTTAGTTTGAAACATCCTGTGGGACTTTGCAGGCTCCTTTCTCTCGTACCACTTTCTGACCTCAAACTCTCGAGCGATTGTGATATTGAATTTGAAAAGAAGGCGATTCAGACCAAACTTTCGAGGGAGGTAAATAATGAAATCTCCCGAGGGACCGGACTTCCGGCTATCCGTCGTGCTTCAGTTCCTCGCAGAATTCATCGGAATGCCAGCCTGAACAAACTTCCAACTGGAGAGCATACAAAATTTATAATAGATTGATCAATTGGGAATTGGGTCAAGAGAAAATACATATTTTCAGGTAATGTGCAGAAGTTTAGAGGAAAATGTTAAGCACTCTTCGAGGTTTCTCCCAGTTTTGGACACTCATATTGTTCCATGTCAGTTTACAACTTTGGCTAAGTTTCTCATAAAAGGCAACATATTCATATAATTATCATTACACTGTATTTTACTATGTTCAACGGCAACAGTGACAAGAGAACAAAGTGAGGATGTAAATAGCTTTCATTTCAATATTTCATACCAATGAAATATTCTTAAACCAATTGTAGAATACTTCATCAAAAGATAAGTAATTTTTTGCCAAAAGAAAAACCGTTGTCGATTTTATTGAGCCACTTTCTGTCGACTTACAGCTTTCTCCCCATCGACATCATCGCAATTTCCCGCGTATTACGATTTTTGCGCCTCCGAGCGTTCACTGACAGTGTGAGAGTCCTCGAGGGTGGGCTTGAGAAGACGCAGGAGGATGAGGTCAGAGTGTCTACAAACTTGCGCCAGAGATCGTCATTTATTTCTGCAGCATTTTATCAACTCCTGTCCTCGTGGGCTTTTTTCTCCGCACACACACACACACGCGCGCGTCTTCAGAAGGACACGGAGCTTTTGCACACTCAGAGTTCTCCCGCCGTGTGCCAAAGTGTGCGAAAGCTCAGCGACTCTCACTGCGCACTTGTGGCCAACTTTGAGGGGAGTCCGTTCGCCGTCCCGTCGGAACACCTCGGCGACGGTGACGTAGATGAGCCAGAAGCTCTGCGTCGAGCTTTCTCTCCCCAGAGCAAACAGTCGAGATGCAGATCTGCTGGTCTGCACATCGCTTCCCATCCGCTGGACGCCGTGAGTGCGAGTGAGACCCATTCCTCAGCTCACCTTGCCTCTCGTGGCCGCGCTGTCCCTGCACGTCCATCCGTGAGCATCCCGCCAGCAGCTTGTGACACGGCTGGGGGGTCGCGCGAGGCCCACTGGATGACCCGCCAGTGTGGGAGTGAGTGAGCAGATTGTGTGACATTGAAAGTATCGACGGAAAAAGGCAGCGAGTTTGGAGTGTGTGCAAAAGTGCTGTCGATTCCCAACCTCTGGCGAGTGTCCCGACGAAATGGTGTCACGCGTGATTTGAGGTGAATGAGGACAGTTCATGACTCAACACCCAAACTGATTCGCAAGTGTTTGTGTGTGCGCGCGGAGAAGAGTCAAAATCAGCCTCACTTTCGCGCCCTCGAAGGAGTTCTCTGCTCCCCGAATCTTTGCCACTTTCACGCTCCCCCGCACATTCATCATGAATAATTTCTGACTCCACGGCGATTTTGCGAGATCTGCAATTTCCCACCCCGCAAAAGTGTGTCAAAGTTTTTCTCACGCCCAGAGAAACCCTCTTTCAGTGGTGTGCCTTGGAAATTGTGTCACAGTGTCCTTGTACACCAATTCCCAGTCACTATACTTCACCCTTGGGAATTTTAAACAGCCAATTTCGCATTAAAGATTCAACGTGCAAAAAATTGCCCCGAGTTTTTGCTGAAAAATCGTCTCAAGACGTGAGTTGTATTTTCTGCAGCATTTCTTTCTCCTGGGAAGAAATCAATTCGGTCAAGGTTATTGAGTACTCTGAGAACATTCAAATGGGAGAAACGCTTCTGAAATATCGTATAGCTCTAATTATACATAGCTCAAAATTGCATTAAAAATCTAGTCAAATACAGCAAATAGAAAGTCATGATAAAGTTCTTAACTGAATTTTTGCAGCTGATTTTTCACAGTTTGCAAACCATTTGAATTGGTAATTGAATGACAAGTTTTTCTTCCCATTTTTCCAGCATTTGTCATACTGTGTCCTCTTCGATAAACTATACAATAACAGAGAAAAAGAGGGTCTCGAAAGGATAATAAAAAACAAACACGAAAATGTCAATAGAGATGAAATACATGGGATGTCCAAAATATAATTTTTGCGCCAGCTGGATATTTTTCCTGTTGTGCACGAGGAAGAGAGAAATGAGAATTCACTGTAGGATATTTCCCCGATTTTTCCTCTCTGATTGCCTCAACGGAAGTCCCTTCGGTGCGGAATGTTGTTGGAGCAAAGTGAAAACTAATTTGACTCTCTCTCTCTCTCCACGCAGTGTGACCGGAGGACTCTGTTTAGGGCAATGTTGTACACAGCAAAATCGCTCAAAAATATATAAAGTGATACATTCGATATAAATTGTGTGTGTGTGAAAACTCAGTGAGAAGAAGTGTAAATCAAAGTGTTCAACAATTCAATATTATTGCCATGAAGACAAGTAATTGCCGAGGTGGTGAGTATTTTCCACTTTATTACACATTGCGAGAAAGTTTCCTTCTCCCCTTTCTCCTTTTCCCAAAGGATCTCCTCAACCGGCGAAAGTTCACGCGCGGGAAACTCCTTGCGAGGGCACAATTTTAAACCTCTCGCACCACAATTCCCTTTTCAAATTCGTGTTTTGTCTTCAACCATTTGTACACCCAACATTAAACATTGTGTGTAATTCAAGGCAGCACATTTTCCACCCTCCGTGGAAATCTCATTATTATACGTTCATAATTTCACAGACACAAATGCGATCCACCCACTTTATCTGACTCCCACTCTCTCACTTCTGGCCCATAATTCACACAACTTATATCCACACATTCGCCCCAAAATTGTCTCATTCCAGCAACGACTCCAACATGGGACCAACTCACACCCAAAACTATGCATGGCATTGAGCATGATTCAAGGGTGTGAGAGAGAAACGGTCGGAAAGTCGAGGATTTGGCACAAGCATTCAATTTTGCAAAATGAACATCGCCCAAATTCTAATTGATGAGCAACTTTTCAAGTGATGCTCCCGAATAAATCGAGCTGAAATTATTCCACTCTCTCTCTCCTAATGCACTTTCCCAGTTGATCTGAATCCAGATCAACCCTCGATAATCTGTGCTGACAGGAGGATATAAACATTGCCAAACAATTTGAGGATTAACTGCTCATGTAAGTGACCCAGAATGACTCCAAATGGGTCACAATGCAAAGCCAAAATTCTGCCAAATGCTCCAGTTTTCGTCAAGAAGTACACAAATAAATCACGGTGCTTTTAAAGCTGCCGAAGATGCCTTAAAGCAAGTCATTTAAGATTAATTTCTCGTCTGTGAGCAATCATTTTTGGGGTTGGAGAGACGTTCGAAGTCTGACAAGTTATTGATCTGCTTGTCTTTGAACTGATTAACACGATAAGAGTGATAGGATTAATTGATTTACCACGCATTAGCGCGTGTGCCTGCGATTGAATTATGATTTCAGGTAATTTTCGAGACGTTATATTTTGTGAAATGGAAAATTTTAGGTCATTTCCCGAAACAGCTCAACCTAATTTCGTGAGTCATTTTCGTGGAGAAACCCATAATTTTCTCCCAAATGACAGTTTCCCATTCCAATTTTTCGCATTTTGTGTGAGGAAAGATATGGAGAGTGATTCAAGATAAATTCCCGAAGTGGAACAAAGAATTTTTATACTTATTATTCCTCACACAGTTTTTTTCTCTCAACTCCCAAATGGTCGCAAATGACTATGGCCATGAGTATTCAGGAGAAATGAGTTGGAAAAGATGATGTATGTTGTCATTTCTATTATTTTTATGTCACTCCGCTCGCAATCCAACACTGGCTCCCCAGATACTCCATTGACGACCCCATCTCGCATGTGACAACTTCCAATTTTCCCACCCAGCACTTTTGAATGGGAAAACTTTTTTCCCAAACAACACTTCATCTTTCGCTGCAATGCTAAAAATGGCGAAATGATTCTCATTTAATTACCAAGGCACTTTTAATTTATTACCCTCCAACGAGAATTGTAATTAAATAAATCACTGAAAGTTTGCAAACGTGACTAAATTGCAGTTTTAATATCTATCGAATTGTATGGAGCTTTCAACTAGCCTAAAAGCTTCTCCCGCGGAAAAATGACCATTCCAAATGAATTGTGCGCGAATTTCGCGGAGAGGCGCTGTAATAACAACACCACGAGCTTAATTAATTTAATTCTCCGGAAATATTTGCTCCTAATGACTGTTTTATCAATGTGCATCAGAACTTTTAAGCTACAGAGCCAATTAATTAAATTAAATTCCTCCTCTTTCATCATTCTCTTGTTTTTCCTGTTGAAAATATTAAAAAATAGGTGTTCAAAGTGATCGAATTACATTTGTGAAAAACTTCACAAAAAATTCTGGCACAAATTTGTCTGCTGAAAATGTCATAATCAATACTTGATGTATGGAGAATGCTGGGAATTTTTATGGCCATTGTAACAGCCTTCATTCGCACTTGACGATGAATGACACTTTGTATCTCTGGGCAGTAAAAATGCATCTAATGGGGTGATTCTCACCATCATGCTCCTCGAAAATTGCTCTGAAAATGTCATTAGAGTGTGAAGTGGGGGAAAATCTATGAAATTGTCGCCCTCTTATCTTCATTGACCAGCAGCCGCCCTCGCAAAGAGCGACACAAACAACGTGACACAATTAACCATCATTCCCCAAGAGGAGGCAAAAAGGACGATGTCGACCTCTCGGCAATTTTTTTGCTCCTCTTTTTGCCATTTTCCAAACGGTTGGTCGAGGAATGTTTTTAAAGGTGATGCTTCCTTTTTATTACGATTCTTTTTTTCCCCATAAACATCGAAAGCAAATTATTCCACTTTCACAGGAATTCCTTTGCCAGTCCCTATCGCTGATATTCGAGGGAAGCTTGAGAGAAAACCCAACCCCATGAAAGTCGATATCGTTTTAATACACCGCTGTAATCAATTGTTGCGAAATGTTATTTAACTTCTTTCTCCACCGCTTTGCGACCATAATCCCACTGTAATGAATATTTTTTTCGTGAAATTGGAAAATACGCCCGTTGGTTGTACATACAATCGATTTGCCAGGAGTGGAAGGCTTACAGTGCAAAAGGATGCCCGGTTAAATTTAGTGCGGTTCAAGAGGAATAAAGGGTGGGAATAGGACAATAATTAAGAGAACACTCACTGTGCTCAGCTTAAATGGATTTTCCTGCGAGTGCAATATTATGTTATGGATTTTTACGACCTTACATCGATTCACATTGCAGTGGCTTTCGCGGTGTGATAAAGAGAACACATAATATTTTTTTATATCCTTTCACTGCGAAATAAGTAATTTCAGGGAGCTTTTCAGTGAATCATACGACGAATATACATTACATTTACCGCGCTTAGTCTGCAAGCCCTTGTAAGCTAGTGCAAATTACTCGTCATTGAATATTTATTGGCCGTCTGAATAACTCCGCGCTCACATATGAGCACACGAGACGCTATCAATCTCTCTCAACACGATGGATTTGCTTTCGGAGAAATATCTTAAACTTCCTCCTTTGGGTGTTTGGAGGAAAATTGAAATTTCACGAGGAGAAATTGAAGAAAAATCACCACATGTCAGTTATTGAATTCCTATTCCACCAGAGTGCTTCATCATCGCGCCGACGATGGTGAAAATATTCCCCGGCAATAGTCAGCCAGATGCCTTCTGTTATTCATGGAAAATCATCAATTATAGACAGATGGTTGAATTCGAATTTTGTGGCAATAATTGAGAAAAATCGTCAGCCTTGATCAAGGTTGGCTCACATTCCAATTGCCGAAGAGGTCAGTCACCTGCCGAGGCAGAGAGAGAGTCTCTTGGGGCAAATTCTCCCTTCATTCGAGATAAACAGAAAGCTGGAGGAGATGTGGAAAATTGAAATCCAGACGAAGACGCAGGTGAAATCCAAATGGCGCCAGTTTGGGGAGAAAATTGTATGACTTTTCTTCTTTTTTCTTACGCTCGCAATCTTTGGCCCACGCCATTCACGCAGAATATGCTGGATTCTCAATGTCATTCCATTGTCTTTTATTATGCACAGAGAAGAATGCTTTCCCATATATGGGAAAATTTGTATCATGAAAAGCGAACAAAGTTATTCAGGAGGGAATTGAGAGAGAAAAAAGCCCTGAGCGCTGCTGGATTGGGAATGCAATAAATTTTCACCCTTGTGGTTTATATATTGGATGCGAAGCGCCTTGCATTTCTCATTTGAGCCGTCAGGAAAGCTCTCGCATTCGCCGAAATTCTTTCCCCATACATTTTCCGAATTATTCTGCCACAATTGCGAATATTTACCCTGGCAGTAAATGGTTGTATTTCGCATTCTTATCGTCGACTTTCAATTTCTTTCCATTCTACTACATGTCTCCGTGAGGATATGAAAAGACGTGTATTTGAATAAATAAAACATATTTGGCTCAAAATTCCCGCAGTCTCGTAACTTTCTAAGCACACCTCATTATGCTGTCTAAAGATTGTCACTAGATTCTCACACTTCCATTTACTTTTCCCTCATATTGAATCATTTCAGAGCTTCCTCTCAACCTGCCTAAAGTTTAAATATTCATGAATCTCAGTGAAAATTGCTCTCATGTGCTATATAGTAAGTAAACCCTTGAATTTATAGCCATGAAACGCAGGTTGAGAGCAATCACAATGCAATGATTGTGAGCTTTTTTCGCACCTCACCACAGTAATTTCCTGAATGTTTTCCCTCCAGAGCATTGGAACTGAGCACGCAATTTTTCTGGGCTTGATTTGGGCTCCAATCAACTCACTTGCAATTTGTGGCCTCGTGCATGTGTGGGTGGCTTTCTGCCATCGTCATCAAGACCCAATCAATTGACTCTACTAGAGCGTCAACGACACATTTCGCCTGCAAAGTCGAGGTTGATAGTGAGAGGAGCTGTGAAGTGGCAGTGAAGAAAATGACTCACGAGCACGTGAGCATTTGAATAAAGTTTTGCCAGAGCTTTTTCGCCACATGATATTGAAGGCATAGTCTTGATGGGGGTTTCGTCATGGGCTGGAGAGAGACACTATGGGTGGCGAGAAAAGTTTCCATGACAGTGAAAAAGGCAATTCACACGCAGACATGGGTGCTTCAGGGGACTTTTCCTCCCAAACCCCATGGCATAACTTAATAGAGTTACTTCAATACACATTTTTTCCGCCCTTCACTCCCTCTTTTCATACACGAAATGGGAACACTGTGTGTCTCTCATTATTACTCGCTTCGGGACATGCCCCATAGCTTATTAAACCGGAATTTTAATCACTGTCATGGAGCTCCAATGGGATAATCTTTCGCTGTGTGGCGTGGGGCAAAAAGGCAGATTTCATCATGGCGATAGGGACACGATATTCATGCAAATCCACCAGATCGATGGTGCATTAGCACTGG